TGTTTAATGTATCGAGAAAATGGTTTTGTAAAAGGAGTAAACTTTCTTATTTTTTAATCATGATTGGCATTATATTATAAACAAACTGTTAGAAATCATTCCAGAAGTAATTACTTTACTACTACGACAAAAAATTAACATAAAACCTATTGAATGAAAAGATTTATGTAGACTAAGAAAGTTATTTATCAATAGTGGCAGCTTTCACAATATCTAAGTAATAACTACCAAACTAACCGATGTTTACATAAGTTTACTAACTGGCTACAAACAGATATGTAGATGTATCAAAATATAACTGAAATCCTCAATCCCTTTAAATACTAAGCTGTTAAAGATAAACAAGACTATCAGTACTGGTATTCTGTCAGCCAGGATAGTTTACAGAAAGTGTTTTTTTCTAGTTGACCTACTGCTACTTGTAAAAGCATTTCTCAAAGAACGAATTTATCAACAACATCATGAAAATTCAATATCCAATGAACTACGCCTATCAATTGAGATTAAAATTACCAATAATGTCATATATATGTCAAATGATTGATCTGCTAGAATCTGTAATTTCTATCCTGATTCAGGATTGATCACTATTTTATGGGGACATTTGGATAAGCAGAAGACATCACGCTTTTATTTTTATTAATGGAGCAAATATAATTTGTCTACTGCCATAAATTTTGAGAGTCAAAAGTTTCAGCTCATTGACATCTGATTTTTATTACCACCGAAGCAGATCTACAATAATTTATTTTGATTACTAACTTCCTCAGTTGTATCAAGTGTAATGAGAGGACGTAAGAAAAATCTAATTAACATTACCATATCCTCTATATGGCATCATAAGGAACGATACACTACATTATTACTCTATGACTCCTTACTAAAGATTAAAATCAAGTAGCCATCTGTTTAGAGCGTTCACGCACAAAGCCGAAGCTCTTTGGTTTGAGCCTTGTGCAACGGTCGTGGATCGGCACCGCTGAGGTTTCCCATACTAGAACGAAACGGCCGTCTAGTGCTTCCAAAATTTTAATGTTGGACTAGCATACATCAACTTATGAATTCAATATTAAAACATTCACATTCACTATGGTTTTCTGTGCTGATTGGGCTCCACATAAAACACTCACACTACCATTTGACGTGCATAGTGCCTAAATGAAACTATAAATTGAACCTGAGCTTCATAACAAGTTCTAGACCACCTCAATACAGAAAACCATTATTTCCATAAGGAATAATTCAAAACTATCAAAATAACAACATACATAACTTTAAACAACGCATCCTGGAATGTGTTTTGATACTGTCCAACTAGTAATTGATCAAAGTGCTAATAAAAATAACAGAAATTTTATATAATAATTTTAGTGTTTATGTTTACTTGTCGGTCAAAAAAACACTGATTCAAATTACATCACATAATAAACAACTTATGATATCAAATATGAATCTGAAATACCTAAAAGTTGTTTTTTTGGAAATAGTTAAACAGGATAATAAAAAGTTTGTCAAATCTTAGTTTCCTTAAGTTAGATGTTAATGTGGTATTTTTTCACAATAGAACAGCTGTTGGTTAGGTATGATATCCTGAGAGCTTAATAATTTGCAAGAATATTGATATATATATCACGTGCTTACATTTCGTTGTTTAGCTAAACGTTGTTTTTAAAATTTGCCGTGGTTTTTTAAAAAACATTTACAGTGATATCACCGGAATAGTTACAATATATTCCATATACAGTCATTTTATTGTCGGTTAGAAACTAACTAGACATAGAAAGGAAAAATTTGTTTACCCTGAAGTTGTTTTATCTTTATATAATAAAATATTAAACTGACTTTCGTAGTATACTTACTTTTTTTAGGAATGCAAAATTTAGGAAAAAGCTGATTGCTAATACATTTTTTCACATAGTTACAAAATTCCTTAATTTTTAAATCATCTAACCACTAAGACTTTCAGCAAACATTTAAAAAAATACTTCATCTACTACTACTACCATTACCGCTACTACTACTGTGTTGTGTGTGCTACTGGTGTTGATAAATATAAGTAGTATGTATCATGAATAGAAGGTGAAATACCTGGCGGCTGAAAGTTAAGAAGATCGAAGGGAAGAGAGTGAGGACAATCAAGTCTGAGACAATTGATTGACATTTCTCGAATGAGGTATTTACCCTATGGTTTTAGGATTTTACTAAGAGATTCTGTAATTTTGTATTCAAATGTATTTAATTGTCCTACTGGTCTTCTTGTTCACTACAATACTGGTTTCTTAGTTGAATATTCTAAATATTTAAACAACATTGTTAAACAAGATACTTTCATTATTGTAGAACATAAACTCTACAGATTACATCGTAACTATTAAATGATAATTCACCCTTCATTTAATTAATTATTTCTCTTTTTATGTGTGAAACTGAACTAATTTGAATAATAAAAGTTCAGCCGCATATCATCTATTGGTCTATTTAGACTAAACATTTATCCAATTTATTACCAAAGAAAATACGTTAAACTATGATACATTTTTCGATAATTAATAGAATGACTATTACAATCCAATCCATTTCATACTTTTACATAATCTCATAAGAAGACAAAGATATATTAATCCAATACGTTTCGAATAATGTGTACCAGGAAAAATCTAACAAAACAGTTACCAGTCATTAAAAATTACCAACGCAAAGATGGATATCCACAAAATGTTATCGAAAAGTTTGATAGGACTAACAAACGAGCTAATTATGATATAGCTGAAAAGAAAACCTGTTATATTCATTTTTGTTTCCAAAGAAATCATCTTGAATAAAGAATTATGGAATAAATGATGCCGTACAAGTTAAGTATCCTGTAACGAATTTGATCACCTTGTGTGAAACAAAGTGCTTCTTAAAACGAACAAAAATCTACTGATCTTTACTAACTACCTTCAACTGATTTTATCACTTTACACGTACATCCAAAAACAGTTAACTGAAAAAAATTGAGAGAAGAATACATGTTCATATTTCTAAGCACGATCCAAAGATTTTGTAACCCTAAACTGCAGCAGCTCTAAACAGTGCTCTAGTTCGGCAGTTATTTGATAGTGTGCATACTACTGAAGTTTAAAGATCCCTCTAAATTATCATTAAACAACAAAGCAGAACTTCTTTACGTTTTACTAAGGCAGTAGGACTTGATTAAAATAAACCAGATTTATATGTTCAGACAGAGACAGTTAGCGACTTATCATTGCTTTGATAAATATACGTTCTTCATTATAATCATATGCAATAATTTTCATTATTGTTATTTCATTTATTTGGTCATACGGTCCTCACCACGGTACTTATTACCTCATCTAAGCTAAAATTAATTTTTCCATCATTCATTGCTTTTTGCACTCCTGATTCTCAAAACGTAAGTAAACTTTTCAAACCTACTACAGTCATTTCATAATTTATCATTTCTATTTCGAATTCTCGATAATAACAACCTAATCACTCTATGACTTAGATATAGTTTTTAAAAATTATCTTGAATTTATGTACACTATCTAAATAAGATGGTGAATGGAGGTAAACGACAGGAAACCCTGGACCCGGGTTTCGTTCTACTTGGCACTCATCAGCAAGGTGTACCTGTACTCTTAAGAAAACTGGTGCACCCTGACGGATTTGATCCCGAGTCACCCAGCTTCACAGTCAGAGACGTTACCAATGATATATCCGGGCCGCGACCGACCTCCTGTAGGACTGACATGTAACACAATTGATTGATCACTGGGTGGTGACGAATTTCATGGTCGATAGCATTCGATCTGCACTAATAAGGACTAGACACTCATGACATTGGTCACCACCCAGTGATCAGTCAACTGTGACACTATATAAATCTATAATGATTACATAATTCGTCTTGTCAGCTTACCAACTCTACGTAATTATTAATTCATTCAGATTTTGTTTACTTACTCTATCCTATAATGACCATATGCGTGCTGATTCACATACATGTACTCATAGCTAGTAATAACAATCGTTATTATTCTAATCTTTTCTGTTACCAAAGTCTACCACTCCGTAATTTTTTATATATTGGTGTTATCCTTTAATATGAATACGATTGCAAAGAGAATAAATCTATATAATTCTGCCTCATTTGTCATTTTAGCTTTATTGATGACCACTTCGTTAGTTGGACAATCGAAATATTTTTAGGCCGATATTGATCTATGGTCAGAAATTGTTTTGGATTAACCAGTGGTTTTTTTTTCAATTCTTATCAAACATTTTGGTTAACAGATAACTGTTTATCGAATTCTAGTTAAACACATTGATTACTTGATTAAAAGTACCAAATGACATATGATAAAATAATCCACGAAGTAGTTGAAACTATTCAACATTTGAACTTGTAAATGCTGTTGGTACTCACATGTTATATTTTTGATCTTGTTTCTCATATATTCAAAAAATAATTGGACTATTAAGCTCAGAACGTTACATACAGAACTATAAAAACATTCAAATGCAACTTTTGAATGACATTTGGTGAAAACATTAAAAAACACAGAATAAACTTCAGTTATTGTTGAACTCTAGTAGCTTTAAATAAAAAACGACAACTAATTCGATTGTTCTCATGAATCAGTATTGCTGTTAATACGATCGATTGATGTAATTAGACAAAAGACAGTCAGTTATATAACATAATTTGTTTGAAATCCATGATCATTACCAAAGAAAATTAGTGAGGCATATTTAAGATTAAAAATCTTTCAGAACGGTATCTATCTGAAATGTATGATACAAAATATTATTATCCGAATCTTTTTGTACAATGTTTAAATCTTCACCAGACCAAATAGCTCTTACAAACCGAATGGATTTTTACAAAAAAAAAACAGGGCTTAAAATATTAAGATAAGTGAACAAAACATGAAATGTACATACAACGAAAATTCAATGAATTGGATTCATGTTATTTTCCAGTGAAGTTCTATTCAACGTTTGGAAATTTTGTCTTTACTCCTTATATGACATAATCCAGTCAGACATTCACGAAAGTTTCTATTCAAACCAACATACAAAAAGAAATTAGTTGTTGATGTAATTAAACATAACAGCTGACTAAAATGTTTATAAAGTGCTGAATATGGTCGACATTTTATGCAAGATCTTGGTACAATCAGTTCCAAAATATGCACATACGCTAAAGCTTGAGGAATCTGGCCGATAATAAACAAAAATATCACAGTCATTAATAGTATTGACAACTTGTTATTTGCTTGTTGTGAACGTTCTAACCGTCTGTTTCTTAAAGATATACGCATTGTTGGAGTTGGACTGTTATTTCTATACATTGTAGTGTTGTCAACAATATCTTTTGAAATTGTTACTTGGGTTGTAAAATTGGAGATTACTTGAGATTTTATCTGTAAATTATAAGGTATATCATTTACACTTTGGCAACAAGTTTCATTATTTTCATCAATCCCTGATGTCAGTGGAAGTGATGAACGTTTCATATAAAGTTGTTGACTTAATTGATGTGCTTTCTGGTTATGATAACTAGACCACGTTAAACGTAGAAGCATAAAATTAACGATACACAATGTAATCAATGGAATACATTGAACACAGATAAACCGTATCCATGTAAACGTGTGGTAGTATGTTGAATGTCCGAACCATGTTAATTTACTGTAATGAAAATGTCTCTTTGTATTATTAGGTCCTTGGATAACAGAAGTATTGATTTTCAATGTAAAAAATAATGGAAAATTAAACACCACAGCTATACATACTGTGATAAACACTTGCCATTTCCCATGATATCTTGCAAAATATAACTTGCCTAAATGTGGCCATTTCATAATAATGTAACGTTCCGCTGATATTAATACAGTTATCCACACAGATGAAGCTTCAAGTATATTCCCTAATCCAAATCCAATATATGTTACGTAATATAATAATATAACCCTAAATTGTTTATATGTTTCTGTTTGACATATTCGAAGTTGTGTTCCACATCTATATAATGAAATAAAATTAAAAAATGTTTATTTAATTAACAAATTAACTGTGAGTAATCAGATATCATATTTACTATAAACAATGGAATATAGTTTTATTACTGGTTAGAAGAGCGATTACCTTTATTATAAGTAGAATAACTTACCTAAATAACACAATACATGTTATTAACTCTAAAACCAATAATTTTTAGAAAATAATTATGTTCACTGAAACGAGAAATATAACAGTTCAAAATTAAGCAATCAAATTCGTGGAATTTTGAAGCATCAATGATAAACATGATTTTTTGTTCATTATATGCAACTCTTTATATCATAAATATTATCTGTATTCTATTTCTGTTTCAAATAAACTTTTCAAGCAATCGTGAACAGTTGTCTTTTTAGTACTTAGTTGAAAAGAATAAATATTGATTAAGAAGATATGTATCAATTTCACTTATTAGATTAGATAACTTTGAAAGCTTATCATTTTGATGTAATGATTAAAGTGTCAAAGTAGATTAGTGCAGATAAAATGCTTAATTTACAAAACAATATATTGAATTTTAAGTTTAAAAAGTATGTTGGAGATAGTTGTATATGATCTTAATCAGACAACAAACTAAATGAATGTAAATTCACCCTTTATTCGTATAAATATCAATAAATTCTTAGGAAGATGCAATATCAGTTGAATAATAATACAGTGAGAATATCAAGTAAGACCCGTCTACGACCTAGTAATTTTAAAATACAGTCAAAAAAGTTTATGAAAAGAAATTAACAAACTGTTGAATATAGTTGCTATTCTTGTAAGTCGGTAACTCTGGAATAGCTGCTACGTATGCTTAATAGTTAGATAAGTTACTTGATTTCTGTGTTTTTTCTCAAACGAAATTTCAAATGATTTCAAGTTAAATACACTTGAAATGATATTTCATTGTATCCATGTTTAATTTTATAGTATTCACCAGCTACAAAATATGAAATATATTTGTCTGAGTAATATAACAGACAGTTAAACTATTATTTAAACAGTTGGTTACATCTGCACCACAAGAGGTAATACTCAACAGAATCAAAAAATCAGATCAACCTTCAATCATAATTAGTGGACTTATTTCATTACTAGGGGTAAAAGAACAGGAAAATTGGTGAGACTATAATTTATGGACAACTTTTGAGCGACGCTAAAGCGACGTTGAGAATGTCCACCATTTAAGTAGGACTAAACGAAGGTTGTAAACCAGTGTGAAGATTTAGAAGTATGATTTACAGTTAATGGTTGAGGTTAAGAATTACATTTAAGGTTTTCGTCATAAATTGACACCAGCTAAAATGTCAAAAGTCAATTTAGCCAAATGGTTAAATGAATTTCGTGCCAAAACCCGAGACCTGTTATTTTATATCTGATTGGTTCGTCCATAAATTATAGTCTCACCAAAAAATTATTTACTGATTTTCTTACTGAAATACTGCTGTATAGGCATCGCATTTGCTTTACACCAAAATCAACATAATCCTTTCATTTTTAGCTTACAACTATGGACTTTTACTACCATTACCTTACGTGGAAGAATAAAACAGCAAATAAACCATGTCTCAAGTGTTTTGTGTCTAGATTAGTAGGTTATATCAAAATAATTTTGTTAGGTCCGAACGAAAAATAAATGAACGTAACCGTTGGAAACTACCTATGGACTAATATTATATGAATATTCTTATTGTATGACTATTAAGTAACTATATTACATGTATATTCATATACCTTTGATTATAAGCCTTTATTTAATCAATTGACTATTGTCATACGATTTACTATTCTTGAGATATTTTCAATTTATTAGTAACAGACTTGTATAACTGTTATTTTCCATTCATGGTATGATGCGGTCTGTTTTGTTTGTATAGAAATCCAATATGTCTGAAATATATGATTCGTATCGCGTAAGCTGAGATTGGCGTTATGGATTAAACCAGCTGGGTCGGGAGAGAACGTATTACCTAGACGAACCAATAAAAACTCTAGACTGCTCGTAAAGGTTTATGCGTCATTAGTCTGGTCGCATAAGTCGGTGTCTCTAATTGGCGGTCATATCATGTAATATAATTAACCGAGCATAAGCACATAACATATATTAGAAAGATATCAATCGCCACTGATTAGTTAATAACTTACTAAGTGGGTACAATTTACAATTATCGTTAGATCCAAATATTATAACTAATAAATGTAACTAAAAAACTGGCTTACTTGCTTAGTCCTTCCTTCTAAATAGAGATTTATTGATTAAAGTTTAAAAAGTTATCGATTAATTTATGTATACAGTGACCATGAGAATTCAAAGAATAACATAGCTATCAATTTTCAACCTTCAAGTGTAATACTACATCAAAAATTTATCTTAATTTTCGAAGCGAATAAGTTTTCAAATGATAACATGCACCACTATTTCTTGAAGTTTTTCTTTGATAAGCATTATCATTAATTATTAATTAATTGTAGTTGTATGGAAACGGTTTAATTGGAAAACAAGCGTCAAAATCAATGTTGATCCGGTTTCTTTCTAAATATGTTTAATCTCATGTTACTTGAAAACATATGAGTAAACTGGCAAATATGATGAGACTAATATATTTGTTTTAAGTACTTGTTTCATCAGTAACAATTTGATATTAATATTACGACGTACAATATGACTATGAAGATTGGTCAAACTTTAACTGATTTTTAATGGATATTATACTCGTAGGCATTACATTCATAAGTATATCAATAATATGACATTTTCTAGAACAACTGAAATTTTCGTACTGTGAACAACTGTTAGGTGTAGTAGCTCGATTCAAAACGTATTAAAAGTTCATTTGTCTGAAATATTATTGATCAAAAATACATATTTAAATACGTGTAAAATTATTATTGCGTAACAATAATAATATACCCCTACAATTTATATAGTAAACAATAACTAATGTTATATTGTATGGGTGCTAATGTTAATTAAATTATATTTATCAGGTACTTTTGTTGTTCGTCAGCCAACAACCCTGTACTATCACATTATCGTTAGACAGACCACAATATCCCAAACTTTAGTTAAAGACGTTAAAATTGGGTTTTTCATGATCTCCTAGACCGAGTTGATTAATTAATCAGTAAAAAATAAGGAATATCAATAGATTTGACAAAAAATGAAACTGTTTATCACATACATTCAACTTGGTACTTGATATCAGTAACAGCATATATTTAATCTTGTTGCAGGTTACTAAACAACACTAAATAAATTATTCGTAAACAAGTCACAATCATGTAGCTATGTCAGACGCTAGAATAATGAAATGTTCGACAAAACTGTTTCCTAAAAATTAGCATTACGATTACTTTCCTTAAACTTCTACTTCATGAAAGGAATTAACATTCTTTTTATTCCTTACTACTATAATATCATAAAATAGTCTCATAAGGAGACATAATATACGATTTACAATTCAAACAAATAAATTCTTCTGTGAAGACACACAACAGACTTATTCAAGATTCAGTTCGTTTTCTTTTTCCTTTTCTGAAGTATCGATTTCCAATGTCTAGTAATAAAGTGTATACATTTTTTTATCCTCGGTTAAATGTAGATTAGAATATTGAATTTTTAGACATAATCATATCTCATTAAGTAAAAGTGTCTATAAAGTATGAGATATACATTAACTAGATTACTAAATACATACCTCATTTAATCTTGATATCTAACTAAAGACAACAGCTATACTGAATTTTAATCTCTTGAAAAAATCCATTATTATTATTATTAACATTTCTAATATTTAATCCATAGTTTTCACTCTGTTTGATAAATGAAAGTTAATGAAACAAAATAGTAGGACAATTCTATTGAGACTTATATAAAGAACATTAATATTGAAGCAAAACTTTAATAACAAACTACTAGGCTATATATATCGTAGATGCACAAACACGCAAATATTCAATGTAAAATACATTTGAAGGAAACTATTATTTGGCGTCATTGAAATAAATTAATAAAATAAATTGAACTATCCTGTTAACAATAAACTAATTTATTCATAGATTCATATTATATATGAATATAATTTTTGTTTGAAAGAAACATCAGGTTTGCATGTATATGTGATTGAGGAGAAAATTCTCGATCTCCTTTAAGAAATAACACAAGATATGAATTTACAAACAGTATAGTCAAAAGTTGTAATCATAATGCTCTAACTAAAAATAAGAATCAGAAGGGGGTTTTGTGGAGACCTTGGTAATTTCAGTTGTTGAGATCGTGAGTCAATTGAAGCTAGACCACCATGGAAAGCCTGGAAGCACTGCACGACCGTTTCGTCCTATTGTGGGACTCCTCGGCAGTACGCATCCACGATCTCACTCGTCGGGATTCGAACCCAGGACATGCTGGTCTCGTGCGCGAGCACTTAACCACTAGACTACTGAGCCGGCATCAAACGGTGTTAATGTCTGGCTTAAACTAATCCACGAAATTGAGCGACACATCCATATTTTCATCAGTGAGTCCTGAGTTCGAATCCCGCGAGGCGGGATCGTAGATGCGCACTGCTGAGGAGTCCCACAATAGGACGAAACGGTCTTTCAGTGCTTTCAAGTTTTCCATGTTGATCCAGCTTCAACTGACTCTTGATCTCAACAATTAAAAATAAGAAAACGAATACTAATTATTTTGTTATAAACTGAAATTATTTTAAATAACCAAACTTTAGAATAGATCAGAATGATAATTTATTGTTCAAATAGTTTAATTAAGACACTATATAAATCTACAGTACCAGATGCAGTAACAATACGTGATTCTAAGTTTTAAAACTGATCACAAGAATTTTGAATTCCGTGGAATGTTAATCCTGTTAAATGCATTAAAATGACATGTTAGTGAGTGAAACAGAATTCAGCATTTCATACAAAACGATTAGTATCAATTATAACAGGCACTATATGAAATTACACATGAGTGT